AAGAGGGGGCAACCCAAGGTGCAAGATGGAGGGTGGGCAAATAAATTAGAAAACACGTAGTTTGTAACACAACTGTGAGGTCGAACTGGCTCAAAGCTTTCCAAGGTTCTTGGACTTCTGAGAGAAGGTCAAGATACCGATTACACTGGGGCTTTGTTTACTCAAATTTCAAGGTAAACCATAGGAAAAAAACTCCCAAACCAGAGGAAAAATACTTAGCTTCCAAGCCAGAGGAAAACTTAGAGGATAAGAAAAACAAACCAATAGAAATCTTGTTAATTTTTTGAAAGGCAAAACAGGGAGCTTAAGAGACGTAGGAAAAAGTAGGACAAAGAGAAAGCATAAGGTGTGACGCTCTAACAAGTCTGTGTCAGTAGGCACAGTTAGTGTAAGTGATGTCATTAACAGTGAAATAGAACAAAAGGCCGGGCCGGCGCCTTGGCTCACTTGGTTAATCCAACGCCTGCAGTGCCGGCATCCTATATGGGCGCCGGGTTCTAGTCCTGGTTGGGGCGCTGGGGTCTGTCCCGGTTGCTCCTCTTCCAGTCCAGCTCTCTGCTGTGGCCCTGGAGGGCAGTGGAAGATGGTCCAGGTGCTTGGGCCCCTGCACCCGCATGGGAGACCAGAGAGGCACCTGGCTCCTGGCTATGGATTGGCGCAGCGCCAGCCGTGGCTGCCATTTGAGGAGTGAACCAGCGGAGGGAAGACATTTCTCTCTGTCTCTCTCTCTCTCACTATCTATAACTCTACCTGTCAAATAAAAAAAAAAAATAGGGGATGTCACAATGGAGGGGGAAATTCCTGCCACCTTTAGGAGATTGAAAATGCGAGAACAGCATAAAGTTGAAGTGAAAGAACAGAAGAAGTTAGAAAAGAAAGGTGCTAGTTTAAAGCAACGTTATACTAAATGGCTCTTGGAATACAGAAAACAAAAACTGCCCCACATCCTTACCACAATTATTTTCATTTTCATGAATTCCTTTATCTTTTGACCCAAGCTTCCATAATTTATGTCACTGTATTTGTGATAAGCATTGAACTTTAGTTCTGTATTTTTCCTTTTCAAATCATTTGGCAAGTTTTTAGGTGGCTTGCCTAATGTAATCTCATAATAGCTCAATTGGTATAGATGTTTGAGCTTTTTATAATTCACATAAGTTCACTGCACAACCATCCCAGCAGTAAGTTTTATAAATTTGTTTATTTTATGTTGCATGAAGCAGACGTTTGCTGGATCTGTCTTAAACCCTTAACCAGTGTATCTCTCATCTCCTGTTGCTAATGAGAGCTGCTTGTAGGGAGTAGCCGTGTTTCCCGGGAGCGTGTTGCTCAGGGCTCCTAGCTCTCAGCCATTTGGTGGGCAAGAGTGTCCCCTCGTCCTGGACATCACCCAGCGCCACTGCCCTGCTGCTCAATTTCTCTAACTCTTTTCTTGTTCTGGAAGATGGAGTGGGGGTAGAGCACCTGGGAGTTGGAGCAGGGGTAGAACACCTTAGGGCTGAGCCGCAAGCCTGGAGCAGAGGTGCCCACACTCGCCATGAGACAACAACGATGATGATAACTGAAATTCACGTAGGACTTACTACGTGCAGGTCCCGATTACTCCCCTTACGTAGGACAATGCTGAATGTTGGGTTCTTGGAGGCCTAGTACACCCGTCCATGTCCCCCTCTTTCTCCTCTCTCCCTTCTCCATTTCCCAGCCCACTGCCTGTGTGGCAAAGCTGTGAACTTGGCACTAAGCCTTCCATTCATCTTGCATCTGCCTCCCTTCCAGGTCAAGAGGGCGCAATGACATCCATTATGAAACAGAGGCCTGTTCACTGGGGCCAGGTGGCCAAAAAAAAAAAAAAAAAAAAAAAATCCAGATAAACAAACAGTGAAGGTCAAAGCTAATGAGCAGAGAGCTGGATGGTACCTAAGATCCTCCAAAACCCCGGGAACTTGATAACGTTAGGTAATGTTTCAGTGACTGGCATCAGAACACAGGATCAATGCAGTCAGGGCCGTGCATTCAAATGACGTGTGTGGACAATTCCAGATGCCTGCAAACCGGTGAACGGGGTGAACTCTTGCCTCATCTCTCATCACGAACGCTTGTTTTCCTCTGGGAGTTGGAAAAGAAGTCAGTTGTCGGCCACTCCTCTGTTTGTCTGCGGTCGGCTCATTGTGCAAAAATCAGATGGGGTGCTCAACGTGAATTTAAATATCAACATTCTGTTGAGCCCCAGGAAGAGGCACCAACATGTTTGGTTTGCATTACATTTCAACAAATGTGTGTCACCCTGTGCTTGTTAATTTGGGGCTGTGAAAAATTAAAGTTTTGCATAAATTTAAATTCTATCAAGGACACAGAGCCAGAGTTTCCCATTGTTTTCAGACGGGCAAGCGCCAGTCTGTTCCATCCTGTCTGCAAGCTGTATTCTACGCTGCAGAATGCAAGATTCTCTTCTAACAATCAGCCATTAAATTCATCTTTTGAATGGGTCTTTAAAATGTGAATAGCTGTAACAGGCAGGCTAGGCATTTGACACCAACATGATCATGGTGTATGAAAACAAAACAAAAAAGCAAGGCTCCTGTTGCCGATCTCAGGTGACTGTGTGGGATTCACTCACAGGCCCTGGCTGTGGGCACCCGGTACAATCTAAGAACACAGGGGGAGCAGTCACAGAGCTGCGGTGGTCGGCTGTGGAACTGAACACATCCAAGTGGGTGGTCCTGTGTCCCCGGCCAACTGATAACGGCAAGAATTATGACTCCAAGTTCAGCAAAGCAGGTGTGCAGCCTGAAATTAAATTCTGGAGTGTGTCTGTGGATGGCATTGTGGTGCAGTGGGTTCAGCCACCTGGGACGCCAGCATCCCAGTGTCCGTGCACCAGTTCGAGTCCCAGCTGCTCCGCTTCTGATCCAGCTCCCTGTTAATGTGCTTGAGAAAGCATGGAAGATGGCCCACATGCTTGGGCCTCTGCCATCCATGTGAGAAACCCAGATGGAATTCCAAGCTCCTGGCTTCGGCCTGGCCCAGCCCTGGCCATTGCGGCTATTTGTGGAGTGAACTGACCAGTGGAAGATTTCTTTCTCTCGCTTCTCTGTCTCTCTCTTTTCTCTGTTACTCTGCCTGCCAAATAATTTTTTTTTTTAAGTTTTAAAGCATTAGAATGGGTAAAATGGCCACAGAATTGGTTCCTTTATGTAATAGCTTAAAACCGACTCCTTCCATGGCCAACAGCCCTCACTATGCTCTTAAATATCACTCTGTCCATGCAGTGTAGTCTACACCCACATCACCCACACTGTAATCCTTTGCTCATCTTCTGGCCTCCCATCTCATCCCCTTTCAACACCATTTAACAGCTCGATTGCTCTCCCTGTCACCACTACCATCACATCACAGCCTGGAGTGACTGCCTGTAGAACCAGCTCCTCCCTCTAGCTTTAAGTGAGGCTGTCTGTCTTTCTTCTCCCATGTTTCTCTCCTTTCCTCCTTCTCCCTTCTTTTCTTCCTTTTGCTTGTTATTAAATTACGGTGTGTTTGTACATACAGAGAAGTACAGTCATCTTAAGCTCACAACAGCTTAATGAGTTTTCACAGACTGAACACACCCAGCCTGTTATATATTAATGTTAGCCGTCGCAAAGCACACCGAACACCGGAGTAAGAAAGGGTTTATTGGGGAACACCCAGCAGACCGGAGTGAAGGGGCGGCGAAGGAAAAGAGAGAAAGAGAGTATAAGAGAGAGAGAGAGAGACAGAGGAGAGAAGATAGAGTAGAGAGACGAGCCAAGAGAGAGGATAGAGCAGAGAGGAGCCGAGAGAGAGAGCCAAGAGAGCATAGGAGAGAAGAGCCAAGAGAGCGCGTGTGCAGGAACAGGCCCTTTTAAAACTTTGCTTGAGGGCGGGCAGGGAAGCAGGAGCAGCAAATCCCACTAGGATGGGGGTGGAGCCTGGCTCAGGTAGCTGGGCCATGCGGCCACCTGGCTAAAACTGCACCAGTTTCCTAACAGCCAACCTCCAGATCAAGAATATTACCATCAACCCAAAATGCTTTCTTTTTTTTAAACATTTATTTTATTTATTTGAAAGATAAATGGGATGCCTGCACTGCAGGCGGCGGCGGCCCCCAGTGCGAGTTTTACATTGTTCTTATTGAAGTGTGCCTATGATGAGAGTGTTCTTAAGTGGTCCTTGCTTTGTGCACACTTTGTGCAAAGAGATCAGTCTAAAAGTCAGTCCCCAAACCCCGCCCTTCTCTGCAACGTGTCACCTTGGTGACATATTCTAATTCTGGCTGTTCTGGGGAGCTGTGGGGTGAGCTACAGCAATGCCCAGGAGGCCAGCACACCAGGTCCTGCCTCCCCTTCACTCCTTAGGCTTCAGCCTGTTCTCAGAGATTCCTTTGTTAACTCAGGAGGCCTAGATGGAGCACCTGCCACATGTGCATCAAGCTCCTTGCTGGGGACTGTGAACAGAGGTGGAGTCTGCAGTGCGAGTGACAATGGACAGCGAGGGCCTGTGCAGGTGAGGTGACGCTCCTGCACTGGAAGGTGCCCCAGCCAAGCCTGGAGTGTGGGTTCTTTTTCTGTATCCCCCTGTTCCTACTTCTCTCTCCCCTGTAACTGCCAACAGCAGCATCCTTGAGCCCCATAGAGATCCTGGGCAGTGAACTCTCTGAGCTGCGATTCCCCCTTTGTTTCCTGCAGCCTACTCAGCCCTGCTCATCCCCACACCACCACCAAGCAGGCTGGGCCAGGCAGAACAGAAGCCAGGCAGGAGCCAGAAGCCAGAAACTTCATTCCGTCTCTCAAGTGGGTACAGGGGAGCAAGGAATTGGGCCATCTTCTGCTGCTTTCCCAGGCACATTGGCAGGAAGCTGGATTGGAAGTGGAGCAGCCGGGACCTGACCGGTGCCCATATGAGATGCCGGTACGGCAGACAGCAGCGTAGGCCCCTGTGCCCTCCAGCCTCTATTCAGTCTCTCAGTTGGTTATTGATATACATTTCTTGACAGGCAGAGTGGATAGTGAGAGAGAGAGAGAGACAGAGAGAAAGGTCTTCCTTTTGCCGTTGGTTCACCCTCCAATGGCCGCCGCGGCCGGCGCGCTGCGGCCGGCGCACCGCGCTGATCCGATGGCAGGAGCCAGGAGCCAGGTGCTTTTCCTGGTCTCCCCATGGGGTGCAGGGCCCAAGCACCTGGGCCATCCTCCACTGCACTCCCTGGCCACAGCAGAGGGCTGGCCTGGAAGAGGGGCAACCGGGACAGAATCCGGCGCCCCGACCGGGACTAGAACCCGGTGTGCCGGCGCCGCTAGGCGGAGGATTAGCCTAGTGAGCCACAGCGCCGGCCCTCCCTGCTTCTTTTCTAAGAGGGGCTCAATAGTCCGTTAACCAGAGCTGCAACTCTTGGGCAACACAAGAAGCGTTTGCCCTTCCTGGAATGGGAGTACGGGGACCTCTGAGATGCAGAGGCTTCCTTCAGCAGTTACCACCACCCTCAGGAATGCGCAGGGAAAACGCGTTTGCAGACATTCCATTTCAAATCCCACTTGCGTAAATCCAGAAGCGGGAGCCGTGGTTTCTGGTTGGAGAGACCGCAGGGTTTTACAGAACAGGTGGCATCTGTGGCAGGCATTAACAACGGCTGGGACTAAGACAGGGAAAAGGGGGAAAGGCGCCCAGGGCAGGAGCGCTGGGGAGGATGTCCAGTCCCGGGACCACCCAGGAAGTGCTGGGGGACTGCTGGGACACGGCATGGCAGGGCATCACTCGTGCCCGGTGTCCTAGCGAGTGTGGCTGCCCCAGGCGACAAGCGCAGGGCTTGGGTCTCAGCCCACCATAGCGAGTCCTCTGTTGAAAAGCCACCAGGCCAAGTGCCACTGAGCACGTCTCCCTTGGCCTCTGTCACTATGGAGGTCCCCGGGCCCTGGTCATCCATTGTCACCTGTACGCTCACACACACCCCTGCCTGCTCCTACATCCCTGTTTGACCACGTCTCCACATCACAACTTCCTCCAGTTACGTTCTCTTCCCCTCCCTCCTAAAATCTGGTGCTTTTCTGAAATCACTTGGCTCACCAAACCCAGGCCGTGTACTCATCCCCACTCCAGGTAACGGAGCCCGGGGGGACAGGGCATGCCCCTTGCTGCCCTCCTGCACCTGCTCTGCTCCTCCAGCTCTGCTGTCTGGGATGCACATGACTTGGACATGACACTGCCCTCATTAGGTCACCCTTGCTGTCTGAAGACCTCACTCCCTGGGGCCCGGTCCTGCTCTCCACCCCAAACCCTGTGGTCATGCTTTGGGACTCCATCATTCCCAGGAAAGACCATTGCAATTCCTGGTGCCTCCGTTTCTTTTCTTTTCTTTTTTTGAAGATTTATTTACTTATTTGAAAGGCAGAATTATAGAGAGAGGGAGAGACAGAGAGAAAGAGAGACATCTTCAGTCTGCTGGTTCATTCCCCAAATGGCTGCAACATCTGAGGCTGGGCCAGGCTGAAGCCGGGAGCCAGGAGCTTCATCTGAGTCTCCCACATGGGTACAGGGGCCTAAGCACTTGGGCCATCCTCTGCTGCTTTCCCAGGCACATTAGCAGAGAGCTGGATTGGAAGTGGAGCAGCCGGGACTTGATGTGGGGTGCTGGCACTGCAGGTGACAGCTTTACCTATTACGCCATAGCACTGGCTCCGCCTCAGTTTCTTTACCGCCAGTCTCAAACAACCTTCTCTTCGTGTCTTCTACAGTCCAGTAGTGGCGCCATGGACCACTGACCCCTCTCTGAGACCTTGAACACCAACATCAGGCACGTGGACCTTGGCATTTCCTCCTAGAGTATTTGATGGAGTGGCCCCACCAGAAAAGCCCTTCCGTCTTCACGCCCTCCCCTACACCAGTCCCCCCACTTTCTCACTATGCGTCCATAGTCTTATAAATAGCTCCCTTCTTGGCTGGAGAGGATTTCCTGCCACTCTGGTTCCTTTTGCTGGACTCCTGCCCTACTTCTCCCTCTCCCCATCCCACTCAAAGCAGAACTCCCCCAAAGCGTCCTCTGCAGAACTCGATTGCTTTCTCATTCACTCCTTGGCCAGCTGCAGACGGTTTCCCTCTGACAGATGTGCAGGCGGTCAGATGCAGTGGTCAGTTCTCTAAGTAGTGGCTGTGGTAGGCCGAATAACGGTCCCCCCAAAGATGTTCATGCCTTGCTCCCCAAAACCAGGAATATGCCACCACTCACGGCCCACCTTGCAAACAGGTTCAATTCAGGGACTTCACACGTGCAGTTGCCCTGCCTGGAATACAACACCTGGGCTCCAACTTGGATTTCCAGAGAAATCCTCCCCTCTTCTTGGTAAGCTGGCATCCCCCGTCACTTGTTACTCTGTAGCTGCATTTGTTGGCATTTGTCACTGAGGGCAGAGAGAGAGAGAGAGAATTTGTTTGCTTTTTGACATTTTGATTTCAGAAACTTTAAATTTACAAAACAAAAATTGTAGCCTTGCACAAAGAGGTCCCTTGTCCCCCACCCCGAGCTCCCCCTATTATTAGCATCGTAATATTTGTCACATCCCTAACGCACACCCAACTGTGCTTATGTTTTTCCTATCTCTCCATGTTCCTCACACCCCTCCCAGCCTCTAGTAGTCAACAATCTGTGTTCATAGTAAGGTTTGTTTTTAATTGTTATTGTGTTCCTTTTCTCCCTGAATTGAGAGCCAGGGACATACTCTTCTTTGTCACCATGAACCCAGCACTCTGCAGTTCAAGACTTTTATATTAGGTGCTCAATAGCTCCATAAGTACATGCAGTGTTTGTAGTTGGGAGGGAGGCAGGGGAGCTGATGTGGCACGGTGTTTACTAGAGGGATACAGGGCTACAAAGTGAGAGGGGATAGTGAGGAAGTACTAAATATGATATTGGAGTATTCCGACTTCTTAGGTAATGAGTAAGACTGCAATATTTTGAGGGAAAAAATTGCTTGGGTCCATATGAGATGGACAGATACCCCTATAGGGCAGCAGCAGCGTAAGGGGTGGATTCGATGGAGAAGAAATTGGTGGCTGCTGCTCAGAGATCATTTGAGAAGAGAAAGGCCTACATACATGTGTGATTCTGCAGAGTTAGATGCAGTGACTATCGTCTTTATTAAGAACTAACAATATTTGAGTTAACCAAGTAATTCAGCCTTAGGCTTGTCACGTGCAAATGACCATAACTTTTGCATGAATACCCCAGCTTACTTCAGAATGTATGGATGTCCACAAGCTATAAAACATTTATAGTTTGAGGCTCGGGGGTCAATTTTTCCACAGTAATTGGAAAAAGGCTCCCATATTCAGCTGGCTATTTTTAAACACAAACAGCCTCTTCTGCCTTGCAAACCACATTGCATTAGGCGTGGTGAGGAGGCCCCTTCACCCGGGCCATGTGTGCACAGGCCTAAGGCCCAGGTTCTCCAAATGACTTGGATTGAAAGAGTGCCAGGAAAAAGTGATGAAAGTAGCTATGGGTTTTGCAAACGTCACAAATAGCCATGCAGATTTTAGAGATGTGCTTAGATGCAAACACAAACTAATTCTACCCAAAGTACCTGGAAAACAGGACAAGGCCAAGAACAGTTCAGTTCTAAATACCACAAGAGATGAGCAATGGAGAAAGAAAGATCAGAGCCGGATGGAAGCCAAGAGCCTGCCTCTAGCAAAGGCTCGGGGTGGATACGTTTTTCAGATGCTGTTCCGTAGCAGCCCTGTGTGAGCGCTGCCCGAGAGATGCGTGTGTCCCATGGCTGCTGAAGGGATGGTGCCTTGGGCACTCATTCCTTGGGCTGTACGGGCAAGGGGCTGCCTTGATTTCCACCTGCTAGGACATCCCTGGCATTGTGGAAACCCAGGGAAAATGCAGGGGGGCGGGGGAGGGAGGGAGGGAGGGAGGGAGAGAGAGAGAGAGAGAGAGGCAGCAAAATAAGTTTTAGTTTTAATTAAAGACGTGTCATAGTCATCCCTGGAGTGGCTTATCTTTTGAAATGCAATAAATGATACCAAGACATTTGAAAAACCGAATTTTGAGACAGTGGTGCAGTGAAAAGGAAGGAAGCAAAATCACCCTAGGAAAAGAGACCGCCCAGGTGATTTGAGACCATTGTCACGGGCTTCACTGGGGAGAGGGAGACCTGGGAGTGCCGCACAGCTCTGCTCCCCTGCTATCTCCCCAACCTCCAACAGGGGGCCTCGCTTCTCAGACAGTCGCTCGCGCACCCGCGTGGTGGCGCTCACTCTTGGAAGGGGGGAGCAGACTCTCTGGGACTGGCAAGAGCGCAGTCCACGGACGGAGGCGAGGGAGAGTGCAGGAGAGACCAGCCTCCGGTTTGGACTCCATCCTTCCCACAGAGCACGGCCTGAGCTCACTCACCCACAGAGGGCAAGAGGCAGGGGCCCAGGTCCAGAGCAGCTCCGAAGGGCGTCTTTGGAGAACGCCCGAGAGATCAGGCCTCGCTGACCAGGCCACGGCTACATTCACAAGCATCGACACGCTGTGCACCCGAGGACGGCTCCTCGTGGTCATCACATTGCCCAATGGGGGTTTCCAAAAAGTGGAAATCCAAGGAATGCAAGCAAGAGAGGAGTTCAGAAGAAGCTCCTGTGGCCACGGTCTGCAGCAAACATGGCAGTCCCTTCTCTTCTCTTGGAGTTGCGTGCACCTCTGTGTTCTGCAGTAATGAAACAGGATTAGCTACTTAACTCGCCATCTCCCCGAACGTGCTTAACAAAAGAAAACGCTTTTGAATATATGGTTGCTAATCACTTCTCGGCCTTTTGGCTAAGATTAAGTGTGAATATATAGTTGTTGAAATTTCCCTGAATATGCTAGATGAAACTGTGTTGCAAGGTATAAAATCCTAACTCCTTTAGAAGGTATCCAATGCCCTCCCGCCTGGAGCTGCTGCCTGCCTCAAACACTGTGTTTAGTAGAACTGAGCCTAACCAGCTGCGGCTCACCTCTGGCGTCTCCTGCCCCAGCCTGCCCAGCCAACTGCCTGCCTCAGGGCTCTCTGTATGCGTGTTTTTCATAAGCAAAACACAGGTGCTCTCTCTTCTGTAACCACCTAATTCCCATTCATCCTGAAGATGCCATCAGCAGGAGACCGTGCCTGTCAGGGGTACTTTGTAATCTTTCTTTTTTTTTTGACAGGCAGAGTGGACAGTGAGAGAGAGAGAGAGACAGAGAGAAAGGTCTTCCTTCCGTTGATTCACCCCCAAAAGGCCTCTAAGGCCCGCACGCTGAGCCGATCCGAAGTCAGGAGCCAGGTGCTTCCTCCTGGTCTCCCATGGGGTGCAGGTGCCCAAGCACTTGGGCCATCCTCCACTGCACTCCCGGGCCACAGCAGAGAGCTGGACTGGAAGAGGGGCAACCTGGACAGAACTGGCGCCCCAACTGGGACTAGAACCCGGTGTGCCAGCATCGCAGGCGGAGGATTAGCGTAGTGAGCCGCGGTGCGGGCCGGCCAATACTTTGTAATCTTGAGTGAGGCCATCCATCCAGAAAAACAACACGCTTGAACTTCACAATACCCGTTCTATAAATTACGCTCTTCCACATTCCCCCCCCCCCCCCCAGCCCTCGCTGCAGGTCTCCGAGTGCACCATGTTATAGAGGACAGAAGTAAGGTCAGAGCGTCCTGGTGACGTCCCTAAGCTCACCCCACAGGAAGTGGCCAAGGCCAGGAGCTCCCTCCCTCTGCAAGGGCAAGGCCTGGCCACACAGCGGGGTGTGTGACTCACCAGCAACAGAAAGACTCAAAACAGTTGAGGAGCTTCTTTTCAAGCAAACGAACGGCCTCTCCACCTCGCCTCCTCTCCTAACAGGGTCACGGCCATTACCAGCTCAGTGGACCCTGGCATGGGTCTTGCGGTGCCAAAGGACAGTTGGGGTGTCCACAGTGGCCAAGAACTCCTCTGTACCCCCATGCATGCAGTCTCTTCTCACAGCTGCCGCCGGTCCCAATTTTCTGCCTGGCTGGATTGTTGAAAGAGCGTTCACTGTTTTTTTTCTATTGCTAAATGCAAAACAAACAGAAAGCAAGCACAGTCGCTTGTGTACACACACACACTCATCTATTTCTTTTTTTAAAAAAAGATTTATTTATTTATTTGTTTATTTGAGAGGTGGAGTTACAGACAGAGAGAGGGAGAGACAGAGAGAGGGAGAGAGAGAGATGTCTTCCATCTGCTGGTTCACTCCCTAAATGGCCACAATGGCCAGAGCTGGGCTGATCTGAAGTCAGGAGCTTCTTCCAGGTCTCCCACATGGGTACAGGGGCCCAAGCGCTTGGGCCATCTTGCACTGCTTTCCCAGGCCATCAGCAGGGAGTCAGATCAGAAGTAGAGCAGCTGGACTCGAACTGGCATCCATATGGGATGCTGGCACCACAGACAGAGGCTTAACCTGCTGTGCTACAGTGCTGGCGGCTCCTCTTTTGTTTCTTTTAGACACAAATATTTGTAATAACAAGGAGCTGGGAAGGATGAAACTTGGTTTTTCAAATGTCTTGATATCATTTACTGCATTTCAAAAGCAAGTAGAACAAAATTCTCCAACTGTAATGGTAAACACTGCTATAGGACTGTCTCAGTGGCCCACAATCCTTTTTTTAGATTCACTTATTTATTTGAAAGGCAGAGCAACCAGTGTGTGGGGGGCTCTTCTTTTTTTTTTTTTATTCTTTTTTTTTTTATCTTTTATTTAATGAATATAAATTTCCAAAGTACAACTCATGGGTTACAATGGCTTCCCCCCCATACCGTCCCTCCCACCCACAACCCTCCCCTTTCCCACTCCCTCTCCCCTTCCATTCACATCAAGATTCATTTTTGATTATCTTAATATACAGAAGATCAGCTTAGTATACCTTAAGTAAGGATTTCAACAGTTTGCTCCCACACAGAAACATAAAGTGAAAAATAATAGATGATTTTTTTTAAATGATGATGAAATCAGATCAGACCTATTGTCATGTTTAATCCCAGTGAGAATCAAGTTGGGAATTGATAATTTCTTTTTTTTCTTTTTTTTTTTTTTTACAGAAGATCAGTTTAGTGTACATTAAGTAAAGATTTCAATCGTTTGCACCCCCATAGAAACACAAAGTGAAATATACTGTTTGAGTACTCGTTATAGCATTAAGCCTCAGTGTACAGCACATTAAGGACAGAGATCCTACATGAGGAGTAAGTGCACAGTGACTCCTGTTGTTGACTTTACAAATTGACACTCCTGTTTATGGCATCAGTAATCTCCCTATGCACCAGTCATGAGTTTCCAAGGCTATGGAAGCCCCTTGAGTTCTCCGACTCTTATCTTGTTTAGACACGGTCATAGTCAAAGTGGAGGTTCTCTCCTCCCTTCAGAGAAAGGCACCTCCCTCTTTGAAGACCTGTTCTTTCCACTGGGATCTCACTCACAGAGATCTTTTTGCCAGAGTGTCTTGGCTTTCCATGCCTGAAATACTCTCATGGGCTTTTCAGCCAGATTGTGGGGGGCTCTTCTATGTGCTTATTCACTCCTTGCATGCCTGCAACACACAGAGCTGGGTCTGTCCAGAGCCGGGAGCCAGGAACTCCATCTGAGTCTTTCACATGGGTGGCAGAGGACCAAGTACTTGGGCTATCACCTGCTGCCTTCCCAAGCACATCAGCAGGGAGCTGGATCAGAAGCTGAGTGGCCAGGACTCCAACTAACCCTCTGCTATAGGATACCAGTGTTACAAACAGGAGCTTCACCTGCTATGCCACATCACATCAGCCCATGCCCACACTCTTTTTAAAAAATATTTATTTATTTGAAAGGCAGAGTTACAGAGAGCAGAGGTGATGGGGGCATCTTCCATCTGCTGGTTCACTCCCCAGATGACTGCAATGGCTGGAGCTGCACTGATCTGAAGCCAGGAGCCAGGAGCTTCTTCCGGGTCTCCCACGCGGGTGCAGAGGCCCAAGTACTTAGACCATCTTCTACATCTAAAACAGAAAGCTGGATCAGGAGTGGAACAGCCGGGACTTGAACCAGCTCCCATATGGGATGCCAGCACTGCAAGCGGCAGCTTTACCTGCTACACCACAGTGCCGGCCCTCAGGCAGCGTTTTGATTTGCTTCCTGAAAGAGCACACCTTGAGACCACAGGGAATGGCACTGAAGTCTGTAGGAGAAGTTAACTCCAATCTCTGCCTTCCCACTTTAAGTGCTGTTGGGTCAAGTTCAGGCTCTCCATGGACCTGTCTGGAGCAGGTGCACCTGGAGCAGGTGCACACTCTCTGAAGCACTCAGCACATGCAGCTTGTAGCCAAGCACAAGGCGGGGGTTGCAAAATGCTCCAGAAAGAACCGACTTCCATACAGGAGCCAACTATCCCTGCAGACTTCAGAGTCCTCAACAGACCCTTTACTGTGGTTTTCCAAGCCCTCCCTGATCCGGAGTGAAGGTCTCCAGGCTTCATTTCCACTGTGAACCCCACATGCTCTGCTTGTGTTCCATTGCTTGGAGCTACCAGTTGTGCCCCAAACTTGCTACACAGTTGCCAGCTTCTGTGCCTCTTCTGGTTTCCTCAGCCTTGAATGCCGCCTCCCAAATCTTTCCCTGATGAATTGCCCACCTATAAGGCTGTCTCTCAGCAGCTCCGTCAGATGGGTCTCCAGCTCCCTGCCCCTCCGGTCGGTCACGTTCTGTCTCCATGAAAGCCACGTGTGTCTCCACCTTCTGCAATAGATCACAAGCTTAGTAAAGGCAGGAACTTGTTCTCTTACATATCATCTTTTCACTTAGTAAATATTGATTGAGCACCTGCTGTGCGCTAAACTCTGCTGGAGATAGAGTGGAAGATCACATGATGCTTGCACTGGTGTCAAAGGAAACTGACTTCAAACAAGTGATTTGACCAGGATTTGGCCTCGAGACTCAGACATTAATGGTACTGGGAGCCGGCGCTGTGGCATAGGAGATTAAACCTCTGCCTGCAGTACCAGCATCTCATATACGTGCGGATTTGAGTCTCAGCTGCTCCACTTCTGATCCAGCTCCCTGCTAATGAGCCTGGGAAGGCAGCAGAAGATGGCCTAAGTCCTTGGGCCTCTTCACTCACATGGGAGTCTTTGAAGAAACTCCTGGTTCCTGGCTTCAGCCTAGCCCAGCCTCAGCTGTTGCAGCTATTTGGGGAGTAAACCAGCAAATGGAAGATTCTCTCTCTCTCTCTCTCTTTCTCTTTCTCTTTCCTCTCTCTATATTTCTGCCTTTCAAATAAATAAATAAATTGTAAAAAAAGAAGTTAACAGTACTAAGAACATGGAAACTTAATGCTATTACGGGGCTTAGAGGTAGGGCTTCAGGAAGTGATTGAGGTGGAGCCCAGAGGATTAAACCCTTTCAGCTTTACAGAGAAAGACATGGAGGACAGATGTGTTCCCTGTCTCCTGCCATGTGGTGCTCTGTGCCACCTCGAACTCAGCCAGCAAGAACACCCTCCCCACAGGCCAGACCAGGTGGTGGTGCGATGGGGAACTGCCCCATCTTGGACTGTGACCTCCAGAAACCTGGGCTGAAATAAGCCTCTTTGCTTTCTAAAGTTAGCCTGCCTCGGGTATTTCTCTATAGTAAGGAACAGCTGCCTGACTCAGCCAGTAGTTCGGTGAGGTGCGGGATCCGACACGACTCTCCTCTGCTGAGCCCCACAGCACTTTGGTCTCAGTGCCTGTTAAGGAACCGCTGGCATCTGCATGCAACGTCATCCCTGAAGCCCGCAGCTGCCCGTGGAGGCTGACGGGTGCACGCTCTCCTGCAGTGCCCATGGAGCAGCACTCACGGGCCTGGCACTTAGCACGTGAGCCTCGGGGTGTGCTCAACAGTGAACTGGTGTCATTTGGCGCTGGCGCCATGAGCCCCACTGCTGTCAGACTCACTGGGTCGTGTGCCTTCGCAGAGAGCGTGGGACGCTAGTCCTAACTTGGCAACTACCCAGCCACTTTCTGAGTTAGCGCAGATGTCTTTACAGCTCACATGCAGTGGTTGAATATGCACAGGTGTGATGCTGTGAGAGTCGGGGCCGGGACCGCAGTCTGGTCCACCTACAGAACTTTCCTTTGCACCCCTTTTCTCCGGGCCAGAGACTAGACCTGTCTCCAGCAGGTGGCACACCGTCAGTCTGAAGCAGCAGACATCCTAAAACCCAATGCAGGGAATCCACTCTGGACAAGGGGTGACCCCAAATACTGTATCAGGTCTTAGTAGATGCCGGATGTCTCCCTTCTTGTCGCGTAAGAGATCACAAGGTGCCTTTGTTGGGACAAAGTGGTCTTTGATACTGACCCAGGAACTGGTCCCTGGCTTCTGGACTGCTCTGCCTTTGAGGAATTAGAGAAGAGAGTGAAGACGGACTCCCCAAGGCGAATGGACGGCCTCTGTGTCTCCTTCAAAGCCTCGGTCCAGGGCTGTTGCTGGAGGACAGCGCGCCCATGCTGCAAAAGCTTACTGACTGCTCCTGTTGAAACGCGACTTCTGGGGCCGGCGCTGTGGCACAGCGGGT